GTGTATTTTTTCTACCCTGTTACTATCAACACATCTGTGGCTTTATATTTAAGGTGTGTTTCTTATAAACCACATATAGTTGGGTCTTGCTTTTTTATCTCGGGTGACAACCTCTTAGATTTGACGTAATTCTTGCTATGGTTAAGTTTTAAGTCTACCCGCTTGCTATCCGTTTTTTATTAATCCTGTTTGTTCTTTGTTCCTTTGTTTCTTCTTTCTTGCCTTCTTTTGGATGAATCATGTATTTTTTAGTATTTCTATATTATCTCCAGTGTTGATTTTTTAAATCAAAACTTTATTTTTAGTGGTTGCACTTGGCTTTACAGTAATCATCTTTAACTTGTCAGACTCCGATTTCAAATAATATAATACTACTTCACAACAGTATAAGAACCTTATAACTGTATAATTCCATTTATACCCCATGCACTTTTTGTATTCGTATTACGTATTGTGCTTCTACAGTATGCTATAAATCCTACAATATATTGTTTATATTTTTTCTTTAAATAGTCAACTCTCATAAAGATAAAGAGAGAGAGATGGAAGGAAGGTGGGAAAAAAGGAAGAAAAGGAGAAGAGAGGAGCACCAAGGAAAGGAAAAATGTGCTTTATTTCTTTCTGTAGACCTAGAGTACCTTCTGCTTTTATTCCCCTCCAGCCTAAAGAATTGTCTTTAAAATTTCTTGCATTGCAAGTTCTCTCAGCATTTGTCCATATTCAAATGGCTTTATTTTTCACCTTCATTTTTACAGGATATTTTTCACAGAATATAGAATTATATAGGTTGATAGGTGTTTTTGGTTGTTATTGTTTTAGCATTTTTAAAGACGTGATTCCATTATCTTATGAGCTTCATCATTTCTGGTAAGAATTCAGTCATTATTTTTATCATTGTTCTCATATATGTGATGTTTTTGTTCTTGTTGTTTACCTCTAGCTGCTTTTAAGACTTTTTATCTTTAGTTTTTAACAATTTGATTTATTATGTGCTTATATGTGATTTCCTTTGTATTTATTCTGCTTGAGGTTCAACTGAGCCTATTGGATTTCTGGATTGATGTCTTTCATAAATTTTGGATGTGCTTGGTCATTATGTCTTCCAATATTTTTTCTGTCCTATTCTCTTTTTCCTCTCCATCTGGGACTTCAGATCCACATATATTAGACCATATAATATTGCCTCACATATTTCAAATGCTCTGTTCATTTCTTCAAGTTGTTTTGTTTCTTTGTATTTCAGTTTGTATGATGTTGTTGTTAGGTGCTGTTGAGTCAGCTCTGACTCATAGCAACCTTGTGTATAACAGAATGAGACAGGGGGCCTTTATAACTGTTTGAAACTGAAGAAATGAGAACAAGCACGAACTACTGTTTTTACAGGGTATTGTATGAGATGTGTGCATTTTGGCAGGAAAAGTAGAAATTTTGAAAATTTTTATGTGGTACATATATGTACCTTGGGACTCTGGGGTAGAATTAGTGAGACAACATTTGTCCCACAGAACTCTAAGGGTAGGTGTGATGGTTAAGATTGTGTGTCAACTTGGTTGGGCCATGAGTCTCAGTGTTTATATGTGATCACCCCCATGCTGGGATCTGCTGTGAGTAGCCAATCAGTTGAAAGAGAGTTTCCTTGGGGTTGTGGCCTTCACTGAATATAAGTGGACTGACTCTCTGGCAAGGCTCATGGGCTTTTGCTTGCTCTAGATCCTGCAGCTGCCTCCTGTTCATCTGACCTCCTGTTCATCTGACCTCCTGTTCTTGGGACTTGAGCTAGCAGCTTATCTGCCAATCTTAGGATATGTCCATCTTCACAGCCTGTGAACAAGAGCCCTGCTCGTCAACCTACCGATCTTGGGTTTGTCAGCCCCTGGGGCTACATGAATCAGGAGAAGCCTCTATCCTGATCCACGGACTTGGTACGTTCCAGCCTCTACAATCACTTGAGCCATTTCTGTGATATAAATCTCTCTATATATATATTTATATGCTTTACTGGTTATGCTTCTCTAGAGAACCCAGCCTAAAACAGTAGGCTTGTATAAAGTAGCAAAAAAAAGAAAAAAGAAAATCCATACTACCTACCAAAAATTCAGACACAATGATTCAGCTTGCTTTCATTAATGAAAACACGTTATCAACCAAAAAATTCAAAGCAGAAGATAATTGAAGAATGACAGATTGACCTTTTATTTCCTTTATGTATGATGTCCTTGATGTCATCCCACAACTCTTCTTATCTTCTGTCATTAGTGTTCAGGGCATCAAATCTATTCTTGAGATGGTTTCTGAATCTAGGTGGGATGTATTCAAGGTTGTACTTTGGCTCTTATGGACTTGCTTAGATCTTTTCTTCAACTTCAGCTTGAATTTGCATATGAGCACTTGAAGGTCTGTTCCACAGTCAGCCCCTGGCTTTGTCTTGACTAATAATATTGGATTTCTCCATCATCTCTTTCTACAGATTTAGTTAATTTGATTCCTGTGCAATCTATCCAGTGAGGTCCATGTATATAGCTGTCATTTGTGTTGGAAAAAAAGTATTTCCAATGAATAAGTCATTTGGTCTTGCAGAATTCTGTCATGCTATCTCCAGCATCGTTCCTCTGACCAAATATTTTCCAACTACTGATCCTTCCTCTTTGTTTCCAACTTTCACATTTCAATCACCAAGAATTATCAACGCATCTTGATTGCACATTTGATCAATTGCAAACTGTAGCAGTTCATAAAAATCTTCAATTTCTTCATCTTTGGCACTCAGGGTTGGTGTGTAAATTTGAATAATAGTCATATTAACTGGCCTTCCTTGTAGGGGTATGGACATTAATCTATCACTGGCTGTGTCGTACTTCAGGATAAATCTTGAAAATGTCCTTTTTGACTATAAATACAATGCCATTTCTCTTTAATTTGTCATTTCTGGCATAGTAGACCACATGATTGTTGGATTCAAAATGACCAATACCAGTCCTTTTCATCTCACTAATGCCTGGGATATCGATCCACAAGTGTTCATTTCATTTTTGTCAACTTCCAATTTTGTTTGAGTCATACTTCATACATTTCATGTTCCAAGTATTAATGGATGTTTACAGCTGTTGCTTCTCATTTTGAGTCATGCCACATCAGCAAATGGAAGTCCTGAAAGCTTTACTCTATCTGCATCTTTAAAGTCAACTCTACTTTGAGGAGGCAGCTCTTCCCCAGGTGTATTTTGAGTACCTTCCAACTTTCAGCACTATATCAGACAATATTCTATTGTGATCCACAGAGTTTTCATTGGCTAATTTTCAGAAGCGGATAGCCAGGCCTTTCTTCCTAGTCTGTCTTAGTCTGAAAGCTCTGCTGAAACTTGTCCACCGTGGGTAACCCTGCTGGTATTTGAAATATGGTAACATAGCTTCCAGCATCATGGCAACACTCAAGCCACCACAGCACAACAAGCCAATACACAGGTAGGTGGTGGTCAGTTTGCATACTTGCTACTAATCTGTTCTCAAGTCCACAGCTTCTTTCCTTGGCTTTTTCTAGTCTACTCTTAAGCTCATCTAATAATTTCTCTATTTCTGATATACGTATTTTTTTTTATATCTAGCATTTGTATTTGGTTCTTTCTCATAGTTTCTCTATCTCACCTGGAATTCCCCATCTCTTCACTCAGTGTTGCCTCTCTTTCCCACTAGATCCTTCAGCATTTTTATCATAGGTATTTTCTCTATTTAGCAAGGCTTTGGATCTTAGCACTGGCGAGATTCCAGAGAGCTCTTCATACTTTACAACTGAGCCACCAGCTTTCCAAATCCTGGGAAAGCTATCTCTGCTTCATGGCCTAGCTGCCAGCTTTCTGATCACTGGGGAATTCTATTCCCATCCTCATTTGCCCCTGGCTTTCAGGAATTGGGGCGATCTCTCTGTTTCTCTCTCTTGTTTCCCTGTTTCCAATCTTGGCAAAGAGATTCTTTACACTCTGGGTAAAAGCAAAGCCTCAGAGGGAAGGTTTCTCTCAACTCTCCTACCCCACCACCAGCCTAGGGTAGCTAATACTTAGAATGTCTCAGTTTCTCTCAACTCACCTGCCCTGCTACCTGCCCCTCCCTGCCTTCAGAGAGCTACGCCATATATTTGGAAAAGGCCCTAAATACCTCAGGGGAATCTCTCTCTCAGCTCCCCTGCCTCACCCCCAAGTCTTCCGGCTTACTATGCCCAAGTACTAAATGAAGACTCATGGGAAAGTCTATGGGTGGGTAATGACTCATTCTGTGGCTGAGTCTTCTCGGAATTCTCATCTATGATGCTAACCCACATGCAGTACTTAAAGGTTTGCCAAAAATTTGCCTAGTTTCTCCTAACCCCTGTCTAATTTTTTCCTCCCATCCTTCTGTCAAGATTGGGAATAGCTATGGGTCTCTTATAGGAAGTGCTCGCCATTTTATGGATTTAGTTCCTTTAGGTTCTTTTGGTCTCTGAAGGATTTTTTTAAAAACCTGTACTTTTCCTTCTTACTGAGCCTGTTTTGATTGTTAGGGTAAGAGTGGCAGTTTTTTATGACATTTTACATTCTAATCTCACAGGTTGTTTAAACAATTGTTTCTAACCTATTTGCTCTTTGAGGATCGTATCAGACACTAACGTTTGAGATGTCTTATATATTGACGTTATGAAACATTAAGGTCAAAGGAGCAGTCCTGGCTAGAGCAGATAAAAGGAAAAAGAAAACTGGTGTTCTCTGAGGATTTAAGAGAGTTATGACTTATTATCCCTACTGATGGAAACATCATAATGTAGGAGAGAGTAAAACTACTGGGATAATTTATTTCTATCGTTATATATAATACATTTCTACATCTGAAGTATTATTCAGACGTATACTAAAACAAAGTTAAACCTTAGTAGTTGCTACTTTTTATTTTTAAATGTAGTGCATTAGAAAACAGGAATGGTTAGAACTGTCCCTAAATTGAAGATTTTTCTAATTATTTTCCACTTTATCACAGTCTCAAGGAAAAAGAAGCAGCATGGCAGTCTGGACAGAAAATGAAGTTTATCTTGGTAGTCCATATCAACCCAGTGACACAAGACAACAAGAACCATATAATTTATTTAGATTTAACAAGATAATAACTACTACAGAACTGAAAAATCTTCTACGTCTGTCATCGACTGCTAGTCTGACCATACACTCTGTTGACTATACAGCACATCCTTTGGAACTTGCCTTATTGTTAAGTTACTGTGTTGCATGCACTTCCAGCAAAAAGATTTACCTGGTAATATATAATGAAGATACAAAACAGTGGATGTACCAAGACTTTGCCTTAGATGTCCCTATTGACAGTTTTTTAGTTTCCCATTTTCTATATTCAGCAACGCCAGAATTACTACTATCGGACAAACACAGGATCTATTACAGTTATCATAATTTCACAGTTTCTGGAATTTTACAAGCACCTGTGGAAAATGGAAATCTATCAAGGTTATCACAGAACAGCAGTATTCATGATGTGTTTTTAGGTGAGATATTCTCATTCTGCAAAAATCGTTCTAGATCTCATAATAAATATCTTCCTTATGAAGATGTAACAATTTTAAATATACTACTATATGATGCGTTTTATGGCTAATGGTACATGTTTTACCACTTAGAAAATGAGTAGATTTTAAATTCGACCAACATTAACTATGATCCCACAGAGCAAAATGGCAAACTGAAGTACTTTTTTTCAGGGTTTCATTTTGGTCAATCAGCAGATGCTGACTAAACAACTTACATATGTTTCTTCAGTGTGGAAGTGGTGGAGTGTGGTGGAGTTAGATAGACCTGGATTCAAATCCATAAACAAGTCATTTAACCTCTCAGTTTTCTAATCTATAGTATAGGACTGCTGTGTTGATCGGAAAAGGAGTTATATATAAAATGCTTAGAAAAATGCTTGCCAAGGGGTAAACCTTTAATTAATAGTAATTATTCTTGATCTTAGGAGTCCCTGGGTGGCTACTAACCGAAAGGTTGGAGGTTTGAGTCCACCCAGACGTGCCAAAAGAAAGACCTGGTGATCTACTTCCAAAAAATGGAGCCATAGAAAACGCTATGGAGTGCAGTTCTACTCTGACACACATGGGGTCATCATGAGTCAGAATTGACTTGATGGTAACTGGTTTGGTTTGGTTTATTCCTAGTGATCTTATTATTCCTAAGGTAGTCTCCTAGACATTATAGGAAATGCAAAGAAATACAAAGCTTGATCCTCAATAAATCTAGTTAAGAGTTAAATTAAACTGGAATTTAAAGGAAATATTGCTTAATTTGTAATCACTCTTTCTTGACCCCACGTCACCCTTCAACTTCCAACTGTTCAATTTTTCTGCTCCTCTTTACAACAAAACTCCAAGAAAGTATTACGTAGTTTCACTTTTCCCCCCTTCCTCTTATTCTTTCTTGAATCCACTCTAATCAAATGTTCCATGAAAACCGCTCTTATCAAGGTTATCAATGGCCTCCACATTGCTAACCCAATGGTCAATTTTCATTCACATTATATCACCTATCAGCAGAATTTGAAACAGTTCCACATGGCCTTTTTCTAGAAACACTTTTTTCAGTTGTGTTTTGAGACACCAATTTCTGCTCCTCCTCCCACTTAACTAGGTGCTCCTCCTCAGCCCACACACTCATCTTCTTATCTTGATTTCTAAATAGAAAAGTACCTCAGGGTTTGGTTTTCACACATCTTAACTCTATTTACATTCACTCTTGGCACACCAGTGGCATCTCTACCTTGAGCTCCATGCTCCTATTTCATACCTTCACTTGGATGACTAGTAAGCATCTCAAACTTAGCACATCCCAAACTGAATTTTTTATTCCCTCATTCCCACCTAAACCTGCTCCTTCTCCCATCCTTCTCGTCTAATAAACAGCAACTATTTTTCCCAGTCTTTCGGGTCAAAGACATTTATCTCATCTCTGAATCCTTCCCTTTCACATCTCACAACCAATTGATTGGCAAGTCCTGTGGGCTCTATCTAAAAAATATATCTAAAATCTATCCCCTTTTCACCACCACCACTCCAGTCCAAGCCACCATCATCCCTAGCCCATACATACAATATTGTTTTACATGGTCTTCCTGTTTTCACCCCTGCATATCCCCATCCTCCTCCAGATTAGAGTCTACCTAGCAGCCAGAGTGAGCCTTTAAAAATATGTGTAAAGTCATTTTATTGCTCTGCTTAAAACCCTCATTTGGTTTCTTATCTCACTCAGAATGAAATAGAGAACACTTACCGTGGCCTGAAAAGCTCTATGTGATCTGGCCCCTAGGCTCTGATGTCCTCTCCTATCACTTGATCCCTCATTCACTGTACCCTAGCCAAGACTGACCTCTTTGCAGTTCCTTGGATATTAACTGTCTCATATGCCTAAAATATTCTTTGCCTTGATATCTATATGACTCTTATACTTAATTGAGGTTTAAGTTCAAATATCTCCTTATAACAGAGTCCTTCCCTGACCTTACCTAACTTACCATATTCTGTCCCTTACAATTTTTAATTTTTTTTAAATTTTACTGAGCTAAAATATATATAACATAAAGTTGCCATTTTAACAATTTTTAAGTGTACAATTCAGAAGAGTTAATTACAATCATCGTTTTGTACAACCATCACCACTTGCTCATCACCCCAAACTTGTTCCTCATTCCAAACACAAACTCTATACCCATTAAGCAGTAACTTCCATTGTCCCCTACCTCTAGCCCCCAGTAACTTTTAATATGCTTTTTGTGTCAATGAATTTGCTTATTCTAGATATTTCATATCAGTGGAATAATGCAATATTTGTCCTTTTGTGTCTTGCTTATTTCACTTAGCATAATGTTTTCAAGGTTCATCCATATCTGAGCATGTATTAGAATTTCATTCCTTTTATGGTTGAATAATATTCTATTGCATGTATATACCACAGTTAGTCTATCCATTCTTCTTTTGATGGACGCTTGGGTTGTTCCAACCTTTTGCTTATTGTGAATAATGCTATAATGGGTGAGTAGTGTCTGGGGTCTTAAAAGCCTGCAAGCGGCCATCTAAGATACATCTATTGGTCTCATCCCATCCGAAGCGAAGGAGAATGAGGAAAACCAGAGATACAAGGAAACAATCAGTCCATAGGACTAATGGACCACATGAACCACAGCCTCCACCAGCCTGAGCCCAAAAGAACTAGTTGGTGCCCGACTACCACCTCTGACAGGGATCACAATAGAGGGTCCCAGACAGTGCGGGAGAAAAATGTAGAACAAAATTCAAATTCACAAAAAAGACCAGATTTATTGGTCTGACAGAAACTGGAGGAACCCCTGAGACTATAACCCCTAGACACTCTTCTAACTCAGAACTGAAGCCACTCCCAAAGTTCACCTTTCAGCCAAATATTAGATGGCCTATAAAATAAACAATACCACACATGAGGAATGTGCTCCGTAGATCAATCAAGTATACAAGACCAAATGGGCAACACCTGCCCAAAAGGAAAGATGAGAAGGCAGGAAGGGGCAGGAAAACTGGACGAATAGACACAGGGAACCCAGGGTGGAAAGGCAGAGAGTGTTGACACATTGTGGGGATTGCAACCAATGTCTCAAAACAATTTGTGTATAAATTTTTATATTAGAAACTAATTTGCTCTGTAAAGTTTCACATAAAGCACAATAAAATGTTTTAAAAAATGCTATAATGAACATTGATATACAAGCATCTGTTTGTGTCCCTGCTTTCAATTTTTTCGGATATATACTTAGGAGTGGAATTGATTGCTTGTATTTGCATGGCCATGCAAAATTACATGATAATTTTATGTTTAACTTTTTGAGGAACTCCCAAACTGTTTTTCACAGAGGTTGCACCATTTTACATTCCTATCAGCAATACCCAAGTGTTCTAATTTCTCTACATCCTCACCAACACTTGTTATTTCCATTTTTGTTTTGTTTTGTTTTTGTAATAACCATCCTAGTAGACGTGAAGTGATATCTCATTGTGGTTTTGATTTGCATTTCCCTAATGACTAATGATGTTGTGCATCTTGCCATGTGCTTGTTGTCTCCTGTACTCTTCTTTACTTTTTTCCAAAGTACTTATCATCACCTAACCAATTATATGTGTATTTATTTAGTAACTGAATTTTACACCAGAAATAAGCACTATGTGACTTTGTTATATTTGCTACTTTATTCACAGTATCTAGAGCAGCATATAACAGGTACTTTTTTGAATAAATAAATGAGAAAAAGACTTAATGAGTACTCACTATTTGTGAGGCACTCTGCTAGAGGTTGGGAGCTATAACAGTAAATTAGACACAAATCCCACCCTTTCAGAGTTTACAAAATAGTAAGGATAAAAAAAGTAGATATACAAATAAAGCAATGTGTTTAATTCCATGATGGCAATATAAGGTGCTACAGAAGTACACAGACTGTGTAACTTACCCAAATCTGGGAGGGTTAGGGAAGGCTTCCTGGAGGAATTGTTGTCCAAACTGAGATCTGCTGAATAAGAAGAGGTTACTTAGGCAATGAAGACAATGACAGCAATGGTGTGTTCAGTGGTGATGAGAGATAATAGGGTATATTCTAGGAATTGAAAGACGATAAACTGCTGAAACAGAGTTCCCTACAGAGAGAAGATTTTCTTCTGGAGAAATAATTAGAATTATGAAAGGTCTTATAAGCCATATGAAGAAATGTGAAATTTCTCCTGAGGGCCTTGGTGAGTTTTAAAAGGTGTTAAACAAGCAAGAAGCAGGAACATATTCATATTTTTAAAAGACCATATGGCCACAGTTATAAGGAGATAAGATTAGAATGATAAATTGGGGATAGATTTTAGAAGACCTCGAATACTAAGTTTGAATGCTATACTAAAGGCCACTCAGAGACATCAAAATAATAAAAAGTTTAAACAATACATAAATGTATAAGGTATGAAGTTAAAGGCCGTTAGCCCTCACCATTCCCATCCCTCAAATATAACCACTATTACAAGTTCCTGTGAATTTTTCCAGAATTTTTAAAAAGCAAATAGAAGTTATAATGGGCACAAAATAAGAATACCCATTTTACCATTGCTATTTAACAATGTACTGTAAGTTCTAGCCATGACAATTACACAAGAAAAAGAAATAAAAGTCATCTAAATTAGAAAGGAAGAATTAAGACTATCTCTTCACAGTTGACATTATCCTATGTATAGAAGATCCCAAAGAATCCACAGGGAAGTTACTAGAGCTAATAAATCAATTTAGCAAAAGCTACAGGGTAAGATCAACACACAAAAATCAGTTTGGTTCTATAAACTTGCAATGAAAAATCTGAAAAGAAAATCAAGAAAGCAATTCTATTTACAATTATATCTCAAAATAATAAAATATTTAGGAATAAATTTAACCAAGGAAGTTAAAGACTTGTATACTGAAAACTACAAAATATTGTTGAAAGAAATTAAAGAAGACACAAATGGAAAAGCATCCCATGTTCACAGATGGGGAGACAACACCGTTGTCAATACTACCCAAAGCAATCTACAATTTCAACACAATTCCTATCAAAATTCCAACA